GCCACCTGACTTCTCAGACTACGACAGAGAGAGACAGAGTGGTGACTTGAGACTTGACGACATTGGATCCAGACTTGACATTTGGGATTCAGACATTTCGACAAGGGACTATTTGGGCTTATGCCGAAGACTTGGTGTTGACGACATTCCCATCTTCCCCCTCCTCTTCGTCTATCCCCTTCCTCTTTGTCTGTGTATGGTATGGGCTGGCGCAGTCTTCCTGTGTGAAACGCCAGGCCCATTTCACACCATGTAACGATGATGATGATGTGTGTTCAGGGCTGCATTGCAACATTGATTGTTCGGATCACTGGTATCTAAGTCTTCCGTTGTGCTATCTTATACTTTGTATTGAAAGGTCGGTTCTTGTTCTGGTCTGCACATTACAGTATGCAACAGTTTGGTATCGGAGCGGACCTCTCATTCAGAGGACCCGCTCAATCAAGTAGCCAGCTTGCGATCTATTGATCACTCATTAGTAACGCAAGTAGGACTTAGTCAAATCTCTGAAAATTTTTCTCGAAACAACTATCTGAAATTTCTGATATTCACATTTTCGTTCTATCTGAAAATTTCTGATATTAGTAGTTCGTTTTTACGTGGCAAATATCTGAAAATTTCTGATAAATCGCATTTCGTTTTGTCTGAAAATTCCCGATAGTAGCAATTCGTTTCTCTGATATTTCGCATACATAGCTGAAATTCTGAAGTTAGTATTTTCGTTCTCTAGGCATATTGGGATAACGATAGAAGTGGTCATATTCTCGGAAACTGAAATTATTCTTTTCTGAAAATCGCATTTCCATTCTATCTCGCAAATTTTTTTTTGAAAACCGAATCTTGCGAAGCCTACCAATATTGCGTTAGGCATATTCGGAGGTTGCTATATTCTCAGAAACTGGATTTCGTTCTTTTCTGAAAATCGCATCTTTACTCCATTTCGCAAATTTTTTTTTCAAGATCGCAGTTTGTAAAAGCCAAAACTTTGCGGCACCTAGCGTAGATCTCGTTCATAATACTCTTCTGACATATCCTACTCATCATAAATCGACAGATATATACAAAAAAAAAAAGGAAGTAGTCCTCTTTTATTTTTTATTTTTTATTTTATCTGTTGATTAGGGTCGGAGGAAAGTATTGTTGGGTTGGTTACCTACCTACGTTTTCCCTCCCACCCACCCCTGCATCCCGGTTCAGAACAGTGCCACGTCAGCAGTGCCACATAAGCAGTGCCACATCAGCAGCGCCACGTCACAGTGCCACGTTCTTCCGGTGTTGCCTCGTCGCCGTTCGGTTCAAAATGCCAGTACTTGAGCCTGTCGATGCTGTTGGCTTCATGCTGCTGCATCGGCCTGTAGCTGCAGTTGTTCTGCTGCTGGTGCCTCTTCAGCCTGTACGCGGGCAGCCTCGGCTGCCAGCTGGCGTTGTTCCTCGGCCTCTATCTGAGCCTGGAACCGCTGCTTGTAGGCTGCAAGGGACTCATTGGGCAGTTGGCCTGGCAGGCCCGTCATGTTGCTGATGTGGCACTGCTGACGTGGCACTTTGTCTGACGTGGCATTGTGTCTGACGTGGTACTGCTGATGTGGCACTGGTTCCTCTCCAAACTCGTGACGCGGTTGTTGTATGCTTGCAACTACCAACGGTCAGAGTTGGAGAGACAGTACCAGGACCTGACGCAACAGCATCAGGAGTTGGCACAGCTCCGCCGCATGGTGCAGAGCCACGAGGATGCAACTCGGGCACTCAATGCCCGATTGCTGGACCTGCAACAGGCTGTACCAGGACCAGCTGCTGGGGCTTCCAGCAGTGCACCCTCTAGCCGCCAACTGGCGGACCGCGTTGACCACGTACTGGCAATGCTCGGCGACATCAGCACTTTCGCTGCGCCGACCACCACCATCAGCAGTCAGCTGCATACATTGAAGACCGAGGTCCAGCAGCTGCAGACGACGAACGCGGATGGCAACCCGAAGATGTATAAGATGCCAACTTTCAATCTGGAGAGGTTCGACGACTACGCGCAGCAGGATCCGGTCCTCTGGTGGGAAGCATTCACAACGCAACTCAGGATTCTGCCCGTAGCCAAGCATGCGTACATCGGTGCCCTGTTTTTGAACTCAAAGGGCGGATGCCAGACCTGGTTGAGCCACCTGGCAACCTCCCACGGCGTCAACGTACCAGACTTGAAGGACCAAATCACATGGGAAGAACTGACACGGCTGTGGAAGAAGCGGTTCATCGTCGATGACGCGCCGGCACTCGCCATCAACCATTTGTTCACCATGTCACAGGGCAACACTGCAACACGGGATTGGCTCATAGAGTGGCAGAAGATTGCGGCAGTGCCCAATCTGGAGCTGCCTTTCACTCATCTCAGACGTGAGTTCTACAACAGATCCTGAGCTGCATTGAGCCAGGCTCTTGGTGATCGTGAGCAGTACTCCACTTTCGCCGAGATTATCGACAAGGCGAGAGAGATCATCAAGACCAACAGGTCAGCTGCACACGAGA